AGACCAAAGCGCGAGACCAAAGCGCGAGACCAGAGAGAGCGGGACCAGAGAGAGCGGGACCAGAGAGAGAGGGACCAGAGAGAGAGGGACCAGAGAGAGAGGGACCAGAGAGAGAGGGACCAGAGACAGAGGGACCAGAGAGAGAGGGACCAGAGAGAGAGGGACCAGAGAGAGAGGGACCAGAGAGAGAGGGACCAGAGAGAGAGGGACCAGAGAGAGAGGGACCAGAGAGAGAGGTACCAGAGAGAGAGGGACCAGAGAGAGAGGGACCAGAGAGAGAGGGACCAGAGAGAGAGGGACCAGAAAGAGAGGGACCAGAGACAGAGGGACCAGAGACAGAGGGACTAGAGAGAGGGAGTTGTAGTCAGATTTGTTCACAATATTTTGCGGTATATTTTTTATATTTTACATCTACAAAATTATTACCTCGCTCAACTTTTCTCATCGCTGCCGCAAATTAAAAGATGAATTAAAGCTCGGCTACCTACTTTTCAAACCACAATTTTTCTTTGGCCTTTGTTACAGCTTTAGCCTTTTAGAAACAATTGTCGAGAAAGAACCAATCAGCATCAAAGGGTGACTCACAGGGCTCTTTCTTACAAGTTTGCAAAAAATATAATGTTTTTTGTCATAAGATGTCGTCGTCTGATTCATTCACAACATGGTACATTTATGATTTAAAAAGAACAATTTAGGTACCCCTGCCTCTACTGTAGAAAATAAGTCCAACCAAGTCATTTGTAAATCATAATAAGGGCTATAAACAGCTAAAAAGAGAGTTTGACCCATAAATCATGCAAGAAAAGACAAGTTTATTTGTTTAACACAGTTTATACACAACACAACTTTTAAAACGCAGTGTTGTTGTTCACAAAATGTTTCTTTTTACTAGATTTCCTGTTGGGATAACCAAAACTGTTATGAAAGAAGAAAAGTGAACAATCCCAGTCTTAAGGAAACATTTAAGGATTTTTTCAGCCAAAAATCAGCGCAATAGAAATACCGTAAAATCAAATTGTGTGTAACTCCAGCACTCGCAGTCTCCTCTCGTGCCTCTAGGGGGCAGAAGTCACCTCCTCAGACTAAAGCGGCTCAGACAGCACGGGTCAGGGTGAAGATAAGAGAGACTTCAAAGTCCATCTTTAAGCACCACTTTGTCTGCCGGGCCTCCTCTCGGGCCGAGTGCAGGGCGAGTGGTGAAAGTGAAGCCGCGGTCTCATGTCACTAATACTTTTCATCCACTTTAGGTTAAATCTAGAATGACCTGGAATGTGGTGATTACAGGGTCTGGTTTGAAGACTGAGCCACTTATCTGATTAAAAACGCTTTTATTTCCATTATATTATAGTTCAATTGTTTAATATTTTTTTCTGCAGATTTGTACTTGTTGCTTTTGTACCAAGGCTTGGCTCCTCTTCTTATCTAATCTGTAACTTTCCGATTCATATCTATTTAATGTTGTATGTATTTTTTTAACCAATGGATCGTATTATATGATAGTGTCCTCAATAAAAATTAATACTTATAACAGAAGAAGAAGAAGAAGAAGACATACTTTTTAATAATGATAAAACTCACATTGTAGCATTCAGTTCAATCCAATTCAATGCATTTTTGTATGGCCCTAAATCACAACAGCTGTCGTCTCGGAGGACTTCACAAAGTTGTCGATTGCTCACAACAACAGATCAAAGAATCAAACACAAAAATGCAATGATACAACACGTAGGAGCCAGCTTGCATCTCCACAGACCTGACTAGTGCTTGTTCTTGTCGGCAGAGGGCGTGCGAGTGAGTTTTTTCCGCAGAAATGTAGAAACTTTTGACTATAATTGTGTAGTTTGGCTTTAAATTTGTCTTGAATTATGTGGAGTGGCCGTACCAGCTTGTCAAAGGCTGATCCAGTCCAATCGCAAAAGCTAAGCAGTATGAGGCCTGGTCAGTACTTTGATGGGAGACAGCAGTATCAGGTGCTACAGTGGGACGGCTGCGCTGAGGCAACACACACACAAAGATGTCTGCCCGTTCCAATCTTGCTGTTTAAACTCTTTAGCTCATGCTCGCACCATGGAGGTCCCAAACCTCAGCAGAAGTGACTCGTTCTGGCCAGTTCTGGTTTCTCCAGTTCTGGTCTCTCCAGTTCTGGATCTCCAGGTCTTGTGCAGTAGGAGTGCAGTGGTTCTACTTCCTCTGAGTACCTCTAAGACCAGAGAGAGAGTGAGAGAGGGACCAGAAGAAGGGAACAAAGAGAGAGAGTGACCAGAGAGAGGGACCAGAGAAGGAGAGACCAGCGAGAGGGAGAGACCAGCGAGAGGGAGAGACCAGCGAGAGGGAGAGACCAGCGAGAGGGAGAGACCAGAGTGAGAGAGGGTCCAGAGAGAGAGAGATACCAGAGAGAGATGTGAGTGCTCTGACCCTGGTCTTAACCTGGTCTCAATATGGTCTCATTTTGGTCTCAATCCTGAGTGTGAATGTGATGATTAAAGATAGAAACCAACAGCACCTTCTTCTTTGTTTCAGAGTTTATCTTGACTAGGTCGGAGTTTCATAGATGACTTGTTGCTGTCTCTGCTTCCAGGTGCCGAGAACATCAAGAAGTACTGGAGCCGTTACTACCAGGGCTCTCAGGGCGTGGTCTTCGTCCTCAACAGCGCTTCGTCCGACGAGGAGTTGGAGGCAGCGAGGAACGAGCTCCACTCCGCCCTCCAGCACCCGCAGCTCTGCACACTGCCCTTCCTCATCCTGGCCAACCACCAGGACAAGCCAGCAGCACGGACGCTCGCACAGGTACCACCGCTGCTCTCAATGTACCGTACGTTCTGGACCATATGCCGCACCTGTACATAAGCCGCACCAGCAACATTTGAAAAGGAAGTACGTTTTGACCACATATAAGCCGCACCTGTAGATAAGCCGCACCAGCAACATTTGAAAAGGAAGTACGTTTTGATCACATATAAGCCGCACCTGTAGATAAGCCGCACCAGCAACATCTGAAAAGGAAGTACGTTTTGACCACATATAAGCCGCACCTGTAGATAAGCCGCACCAGCAAAATTTGAAAAGGAAGTATGTTTTGACCACATTTAAGCCGCACCTGTAGATAAGATGCACCTGCAGATAAGCCGCCCTAAAGCAGCATTTGAAAAGGAAGTATGTTTTGACCACATATAAGCCGCACCTCTGTATAAGCCGCAGGTTTTGATGTTGTAAAGTAGCAGGTCTCTCTCTCTGGTCTCTGTCTCTCTGCTCTCTCCGGGTCTCTCGCTCTCTGCTCTCTCTGGTCTCTCTCTCTGCTCTCTCTCTGGTCCCTCTCTCTCTCTGGTCTCTCTCTTTCTGCTCTCTCTCTCTGGTCTGTTTCTCTCTGCTCTCTGCTCTCTCTCTGGTCCCTCTCTCTCTCTGGTCTCTTTCTCTCTGCTCTCTCTCTCTCTGGTACACTTCATGGATAAAAAAACAAAAAAAAAGGCAATCAATCAAATGTTTTTAGCCTTGGTTTTGGTTGGACACAAATGGAAATATGGGGCCATCGTCATAGTGATTAACAATTACAAACCAAATCTAGTCTCATCCTTTTTGAACGGGGAAATGTCTCTGTAATTGCGTGGTTAACAGGAAGCCGAGAGTCATGGTAAGTGACTGTTTTGAAAGACAAATGAATTGAGAACATTCTGGGCATGTGTTTTCAAGATGCTTGCGTTCGTCCTTGCCAGTAAATGGACCATGAAACATCTTTTGGACTTTGGAACGCACTTTCTTCTTTTGTGTTTTATTTATTCTGCAAATCTCAGATGTGGTTTTTACAGAGATTCGCTTAAACGGCTTGTTTCAGGCCGGTCAGAACTCACGAGGTATGTTGTTTTGGTGAGTTTTTGTCTCGCAGGTCTTGGCAAAAGTAGTGGATGTGTTTGAATTCAGACATTTCATTTTACTCCAGGATTAAATGAACTCACTCGCTTTTGTGTTTGGTTCAAGAGGGATTTTGCTGGTGTAGTTTATGGCATTCTTGTTCACTGTTTGTGCATCCATCTTATTCTATTTATTTTTGGATAGCCCTAAATCACAAATCTACAACACAGCAAAAAGAGAGCTGTTTTTATGCGGGAGGCACAGTGTTCCAATGTTTTGGTCCAACCGCAAAAGTAAGTAAGTAAGTAATCTTTATTTATATACCGCCTTTCACAGACCAGAGTCACAAAGCGGTTTACAATTGTTATTCTTGGGAATTTGTCTCTCACTCCACACAGAGATGGGAGCAGGGCCAGTACAGGAGGCACATGCCAGAACTATTGTACATATTTTTAGTGGTAGGGGAAACCGGAGTACCCGGAGGAAACCTACGCAGACACGGGGAGAACATGCAAACTCCACTCAGAAAAGAAGGATCTCTTTCTCGGGTTTAGGGCGATAGAGAAGGGCTGGTCCCCTAGGTTTTGCGAAGGGGTGTAAAATTGGTCCTCAAAAGGTCAGGTGTGGCTGCAGGTTTTTGTTCCAACCTGAGCAGAAGCAAAACCGGACTCAACCCATTTTCTCAAATTTTCAGGTTAAAACTAGAATCACGGCCCTTTCTGAAACCGATTTGACACCCCTCGTTTAGAGCCGTGGAGAAGTCCCTATTTCCGGGGGTAGGGCCATAGAGAAGAGGTTTTGGGCCACAAAGAAGGCCCTATTACCGGGTTTAGGACCACAGAGAAGCCCCTGTCTTCCTGGGTTTAGGGCCACAGAGAACCACCTCTCTTCCCGGGTTTAGGGCCACAGAGAAGACCCTCTCTTCCCGGGTTTAGGGCCACAGAGAAGCCCCTGTCTTCCCGGGGTTAGGGTCACAGAGAAGCCCCTGTCTCCCCGGGTTTAGGGCCACAGAGAAGCCCCTGTCTTCCCGGGTTTAGGGCCACAGAGAAGCCCCTGTCTTCCCGGGGTTAGGGTCACAGAGAAGACCCTTTTCTCAAGTTTAGGGCCACGGAGAAGGCCCGACAGTGGATTTGGATGAAATCCGAGATGTAATGTGGGGCTACAACTCTGTGAGTCCAACATTTTTAGACACTTTCCCATTGTCTCTTTTTCTTATTTTTTTTATCGTTCCTTGCTGATGCAGGAGGGTCTAAGGACAATGAGGATGTGGGACATTTATTATCATTTATGAGCAGTGATCATCCCACTCTCTATGGACCAATGGCTTCTATGTTTTTGTAATTTGGACAGTTCAATTCTCTGATCTATTGTTGGCGAATCCTCAACTTTGTACAGTCCTCCGAGACAACTGCGGCTGTGATTCGGTTCTACACAAGAACAAACTGAAACGAATTGAATATCGCAATATATATCGTCATCGCGGCCCTCGTCACCTCTATATCGCATATCGCACTTTCTTCCAATATGGTGCAGCTCTAACTGTGACATCACTTCTTGGAGCCAGGGCCATGTGGTGCTTTGCCGTGGCTTAGAATGGGAGCCGTACCTTCTGCTGACCTGCTCCACTGCTGCGGTTTAAGAGCTTCTCCGCCATGTGCCAGCGCCATTGCATCGGTGTCATTAACGGTGGACTTTTCTCCCGTGTTTGCAAACACCGCTGACACGTGAGCCCCGGCTAACTCGGTAAGAGGGATGAGGTGGATATTGCCCGAGGCGACGTTAAGAGAGGTGAAGAGTTCAGAGAGTATTAGGATGACGTCGGCCATTAATATTTATTTTTCCTAAGATGCTTTTTAAAATAGATTCCATGTCCTGTATCTGTCGCTGTACATGTAGTTTAATGTTCCGTTCGTCGACAAGTGTTGAACCGACTGTGTGTGTGTGTGTGTGTGTGTGTGTGTGTGTGTGTGTGGGGGTGATGGGTGTGTGTGGTGAGTGTGGTTAGCTTGGTGTTTGTGTATAATGTGTATAATGTGTGTGTGTCTGTGTGGTTTGTCTGACGGGTGTGTGCGTGGTGTGCATAACGTGTATAATGTGCGGTGTGTATGTGTGTGGTGTGTGTGTGTGTGTGATTTAGTGACACCTTTTATACATAAGGTGTTTGTGTAAGTTGCCAACATTAGCAGCGGCTTTATTCTCCATGCCGTAGATTATGGGCTTCGAGATTAACCACAATTAACCGCAATTAGCAAACGGCAAATTCTGTGAGATCCTTTGCCAACAATAAAATAGACTGAGACTTTTTTTTTTGTCTCAGTCCGACTTGACAATAGAATATGTTTGTGTTGCTTCTTTTGCCTGTTATTGCAAGTGAGAGCGGCCGATCGTAAAATGATTCTTAAAGATAGAAAAGATAAACTAAACAGACCATTCCATTTGAAAACTCACTCAATTAGACCAGAGAGAGACTAGAGGGAGAAACCAGAGAAAGACCAGAGAGAGAGACTAGAGGGAGAAACCAGAGAGAAACCAGAGAGAGAGACTAGAGAGAGACCAGAGAGAGACCAGAGAGAGAGACCAGAGAGAGACCAGAGAGAGAAACTAGAGGGAGAAACCAGAGAGAGACCAGAGAGAGAGACAAGAGGGAGAAACCAGAGAGAGACCAGAGAGAGAGACCAGAGAGAGAGACTAGAGGGAGAAACCAGAGAGAGAGACAAGAGAGAGAGACTAGAGGGAGAACCAGAGAGAGACCAGAGAGAGAAACTAGAGGGAGACACCAGAGAGAGACCAGAGAAAGAGAGCAGAGAGAGAGCCCAGAGAAAAGCCCAAGAGAGAGAGCCCAGAGAGAGAGCCCAGAGAGAAAGACCAGAGAGAAAAAATGTGTAAAGCAGGAGAATGACAGACTAAATTAGGAAAATAATAATATTGAAGTGAAAACATAAGTAAAATGAAATAAAATAAAAGTACAAACTTATAATGAATATTCAGCCAAACTCTCTGCCCTGTATCATTCTGGGGTTTCTCTCTGCCCTGTATCGTTCTGGGGTTTCTCTCTGCCCTGTATCATTCTGGGGTTTCTCTCTGCCCTGTATCGTTCTGGGGTTTCTCTCTGCCCTGTATCGTTCTGGGGTTTCTCTCTGCCCCGTATCGTTCTGGGGTTTCTCTCTGCCCCGTATCGTTCTGGGGTTTCTCTCTGCCCTGTATCGTTCTGGGGTTTCTCTCTGCCCCGGCTGTTGCGTTTCAAGTGGGCAGAATGTGTGTTAGCGCCACAGGGGGCGGGCCACGGTTTATTTTCTGTTCTTCTTGGGTTCCCTCCATTTCACAGACTGGACACCTCGGCTTTTAATTTGATTAATTCGGTCATTTATTTCACATTAGTTATTGAGAGAGTGTTGAGCAGGTCAGGTCACTCTCGTAATTCAAGCAGACATTTATTTTGATTTTACTGCAGGGGATGTTTGTGAGAGCACTACATTACTCTCTCTCTCTCTCTCTCTGTGGAAGAATGTGGTGTGTTTTTAGTCCTGTGTATGACTTTGCTTCACACCTTTTTGCTGCTAGAGAGAAAGCAGAGGGAGAGCAGAGAGAGAAAGAGAGTGGAGAGAGAGAGAGCAGAGAGAGAGAGCAAAGAGGACAGAGGGTGAGCAGAGAGAGAGAGATAGAGAGCAGAGAGAGTAGAGAGAGAGCAGAAATAGAGAGAAGAGAGAGCAGAGAGAGAGCAGAGAGAGAGCAGAGAGAGTAGAGAGCAGAGAGAGCAGAGAGCAGAGAGAGCAGAGAGAGAGCAGAGAGAGAGTAGAGAGAGAGCAGAGAGAGAGAGCAGAGAGAGAGAGCAGAGAGAGAGAGCAGAGAAAGAGAGCAGAGAGAGACCAGAGAGAGCAGAGAAAAAGAGCAGAGAAAGAGAGCAGAGATGGAGCAGAGAGAGACCAGAGAGAGAGACCAGAGAGAGAGAGAGCAGAGAGAGAAACCAGTGAGCGAGAGACCAGAGAGAGAAACCAGAGAGAGAGACCAGAGAGAGAGAGAGAGATCCAGCCCTGTGTGTCTGGGTAACAAACCCCCGTCATGGTGAGTGTGGAGTCTGTGGGTGCTTTGAAATAAGTATAATTTGTTTTGCAGCAGTTTTTCATATTTTAAGGCTGCAACACGTTAAGTAATTAATTACAACTAATCAATTTTGAGCCACACAAATGCTGTGAAGTGGTTTTTGTGACTCAGAGAGGGCTGTGACGACTGCAGCGACGGGGAAGACACAACAACAAGGTTTCGATGGAAATGCTCTTGTGTGGCACTGGAGACAAGACAAACGTTTGTGTTCAGTGGACTTTTGGGGTTTGAACTAAAGCATTCTCCACTGTTTCCTCCATGTCGCTGGGTCTGTTCTGGTGCTCGCTCTGTATTCAGAAGTTTCAGGACTTAGCAAAAGTTAACAAATTATTATTATTTTTTGTTCATCTAGTGAATAACTTGATTTTTATCTCAGACAAAGCATGTATTCAGGTTACACAGAGTACAGTGGACTGAGGATAACCCAAAGAAGGAGACTGGAGAGAGAGACTAGAGGGATTAGAGAGAGAGAGACGGGAGAAAGAGAGGGAGATAAGAGAGAGCAAGACACAAGCGAGACCATACAGAGAGACTAGAGAGAGAGACTACACAGATAGACCAGAGAGAGAGACCAGAGAGGGAGACCAAAAGGAGAGTATAGAGAGAGAGACAGAGAGACCAGAGAGAGAGACCAAAAGGAGAGTATAGAGAGAGAGACCAGAGAGAGAGACCATAGAGAGAGACCAAAAGGAGAGTATAGACAGAGAGACCAGAGAGAGAGGGAGAGAGACCAGAGAGAGAGACCAAAAGGAGAGTAAAGTGAGAGACAGAGAGACCAGAGAGAGAGACCAAAAGGAGAGTATAGAGAGAGAGAGAGACCAGAGAGACACCAGAGAGAGAGACTAGAGAGAGAGACCATAGAGAGACTAGACAGAGAGACCAGAGAGAGAGACAAGACAGAGAGACCAGAGAGAGAGACCAAAAGGAGAGTATAGAGAGAGAGACAGAGAGACCAGAGAGAGACCAGAGAGAGAGAGACCATAGAGAGACTAGACAGAGAGACCAGAGAGAGAGACAAGACAGAGAGACCAGAGAGAGAGACCAAAAGGAGAGTATAGAGAGAGAGACAGAGAGACCAGAGAGAGACCAGAGAGAGAGAGACCAGAGAGAGACTAGACAGAGAGACCAGAGAGAGAGACAAGACAGAGAGACCAGAGAGAGAGAGAGAGAGAGAGACCAGAGAGAGAGAGAGAGAGACCAGAGAGAGAGAGAGAGACCAGAGAGAGAGACCAGAGAGAAAGACCAGAGAGAGACCAGAGAGAGAGACCAGAGAGAGAGACCATAGAGAGACTAGACAGAGAGGCCAGAGAGAGACTAGACAGAGAGACCAGAGAGAGAGAGAGAGAGAGAGACCAGAGAGAGAGACCAAACGGAGAGTATAGAGAGAGAGACCAGAGAGAGAGACCAGAGACAGACTAGACAGAGAGACCAGAGAGAGACTAGACAGAGACCAGAGAGAGAGACAAGACAGAGAGACCAGAGAGAGAGAGACCAGAGAGAGGGACCAAAAGGAGAGTATAGAGAGAGAGACAGAGAGACCAGAGAGAGAGACCAAAAGGAGAGTATAGAGAGAGAGAGAGAGACCAGAGAGAGAGACCAGAGAGAGAGACCAGAGAGAGAGACCAGAGAGAGAGACCAGAGAGAGAGACCAGAGAGAGAGACTAGAGAGAGACCAGAGAGAGAGACTAGAGAGAGAGACCATAGAGAGACTAGACAGAGAGACCAGAGAGAGAGAGAGAGAGACCAGAGAGAGAGACAAGACAGAGAGACCAGAGAGAGAGACCAGAGAGAGAGAGAGACTCACTCAGCATCACTCATGTATTCAGGTTACACAGAGTACAGTGGCCTGAGGATAACCTCTGCAGTCACAACGCATGGCTAATCTGTTAGCTCCTATTAGCACACGTTAGCACAACACATGAACTGTATGCTAACGATGATGCTACAGGGCGCTACAGAATGTCAAAGGTTTATGTTTTTCACGTATTGACTATTTTTAAGGCCTGCAGGGAATCCAAGTTTGCATGTCTCGCTCCAGGTAACATACAGTATGGCACATCCTCTTTCCATTATTTATCAGCGTGTCCATTAGCTTTTGGCTATGTAAAGGTCTTTAAAGGGGTCAGAGCTGTTGGTTCACTCAAACTTTAGGTTCTGTTCCTTCAGTAACTTCACCCGCTCTGAGAATTCTAGAACATTCTCATATCTCGCTAATGACTTTATGTAAGATTTTTCAAAGATCAGATTATATGCATTATTTGTGTCAATTTTTGGACTTCCCTGTCGTGGTAAGAATATGTCATTTGGCTTTTCATGTTTTTTTTTTTTTATTCTTAGTAACAGGAATCACAAACTATAGGAATTTGCTTTGGCTCATGGTGCAAACAATTTTGAAAGGAAAAGTAGATACATAGGGTATAGATTGTGCTTCGTTAAGCTAGCAGGTTAGCATTGCCCAGCTTTAAACATGTCCATGGTGGGAATGAGCATTTATATGGCGATGCTATATTGCACATTTCAGCTTTTTTCACTGTGGATTCAAACACATATATTTAGATAATATAAGAAAGCCTTTATTAGTTCCACAGTTGGGAAATGTCCTTGTTGCAGCGCACATACAGGACAGC